TGCAACAAACATCTTCACCAAACTCTAGGTGGCTATGTCTACACTGGCACGTTCTCATGCAAAAACTCTTTTGTGGAAGAGTTCTTCTGCAAAAACTTTTCCACAAGAGAGCGTCTACACTGGCATGTGCTTTTGCGCAAGAGCATCCATGCCAGTGTAGACGCTCTCTTGCGCAAGAAAGCTCTGATGGCCATTTTAACCATAGGGCTTTCTTGCACAAGAAATTCATGTTGCCTGTCTACACTGGCCTCTTCTGGAAGAGCTCTTGCGCAAAGGGGCTTATTCCTGAGTGGGAGCATCAGAGTTCTAGCGCAAGAAGCCCTGATTTAATACATTAGAACGTCAGTTTACTTGCGCAAGAACATGCGGCCAGTGTAGACAGGCAGCAAGTTTTTGCACAAGAGCAGCCGCTTTTGCGCGAGATCGTGCTAGTGTAGACACAGTCTAGGTGCGCTGAGAGGCAGGAGATCTAGGGAACAAAAGCTCAAAGCCAGATGGAGATCTAGCAACTTAGCAAGACATCCTCTGAGTTCCACTGCTCAGTCACTTGGCTTTTCCTTGAAACCCTACCCCTCACCTCTGCATCCCTTGGGGCCAGGGGCAGATGAAAATTTTGCGAGGCCCAGGGCACGGGGCCTATTGAAGCACAGGGCCCGGGGCAGCACAATTTTGCATATGCACCACAGCCACAGCTGACAGGTAGTAGCGCGTGCGCGGGGCCTATTGAAGCGCGGGGCCCAGGGCAGCCGCCCTGCTCTCCCTGCCCTATATACATCACGGGGATGGGCAAGGACCATGTCACCTTACTTTCTCCAGGCTTTTGCTGCTACAAAAATTAGAGCTAATAACAATATCTCACACTGAACTGCAAGACCATTTGGAAATTACAATGAAGAGTAGGGGAGAAATGCCTAGTAACTAGTATTATTTATTATTGTGGGTTTAGTGGCTGGAGGTGCCAGCTGCAATCAGGACTCCATCTCGTTAGGTGCTGCATTGTACTCAGAGTGAGAGACTGTCCCTGCCCCAAAGAGCTTACAGTCTACATGGGCAAGACAAAGGATGGAGGAAAGGAAGGATTATGTCCCCATTTTCCAAATGGCTAGAGGAGGGTGGGAGTGTTTGGAGGTGGAATGTAAATATCTACATTGGAATGGGGCCTCCAGAGCTAACACCTCTATGCTTGTGCCAGGGATCAAAAGTCCTGGCTCCCTTTTAAGGCACTTTCATCAGCACCACACCCCTTCCATAGGACAGGACTAGGGTTTAATTATGATTCGGAGTGATCCCACTGAATGGCCAGCACCCCCACTTGCAGCAGCCCACATGTTCTTTGCAGGTCTCCTGACCCAATCACAGCCCAACTTAGCCCTGGATACAAGAATCACAACTCCAGGTGGTCTGGCTGCAATACCACTAGCTGGATTTCCACCCACTTTCCTGGAAACACAGATCCTGCTGCCCTAGAGCTCAGAGATGCTTAAAGCATGCTGGGGGAGGGGACAGGGAGCAGGAGGAAGAGAGAGTGAAGTCCTGGCAATCTCTCCCTGTGGAGAGTGTTGCCCCCACCCCCATCTGGAAGAGATTTGTTCTGCATTCCCAAGCAGGGAAGACTGCCACTCATCTGGAATGAGTGCTCCCAGCACAGCCAACCCTGGGGAGGGGGAGAGGGGCTGAGACCCCAGTGGAGGTACCTGTCTGGCCAATGCTAACTGAGGCTGAGTGGCACCAGCTTGGGAGAGATGCAGAGTGATGGGGATGTGCCCTGAGAGGGAATAGAGTTCCCACTTCCCCCCGGGGATGAATTAGATCTGACAAAAGGGCCCTGTTCTGCTCCTCTCCCCATTTCAGTTGGCTTCCTCCAGTGGGGCAGCTCCTCTGCCAGGGAGAAAGGGTCTTTCAGGCTTCATCTCCTGCCCCCTCAACCATAGAACTGGCAGGTTTGCTAACGCAGTAATAAGTACTCCAGGAATGAATGTTATTAATACGTTGCCCTGGTTAATCTGTTCTCCCCTCACTCCAATGAGACCAAAAAAAATTATTATCCTTGTTTTACATATGGGGAAACTGAGGCTGGTTTACCCAGGACTGTGGCAGAGCCAGGTATGAAATCTAACTCTCCACACTGTGCCTTAGCCCCCCTGTGAGAGTGTACTCACATACCCGTGACAGTGGTAGGCCTTCCCACCCTATACCTGGCCACAAGTAGCCTATCAAACTTCAGCTGAAGCCAGGCATAGCAGTGAAACTCCTTAGCCTATCCATTTTGGGCTGCTTCTTGGGAAGATTCAGAGCAGCTGTAGAGGCACTCAGAGTCATCTGCAGATTTTGGAAGGTAACCCAGCTCCTTACTGGCCCAAGCAACAGCAGCTGCTCATACATTGAAGCTAGTCAAGTGGAAAAGGGAACCAAAGAGCAGAGGTCTGGGAAGGGGTGGAGAAGCTGTAGCAACAGAGGCTCTGGAGAGTGTAAAAGAGACAGACATCTTCCCCTTCCAGCAGCTACAAGAGGATGGAGCTCCAGACTGACCTGACCCTTTCTAGACAGTGGCCCATATCATAGATGGAGCTTCCACAGCAGAGCTCAGGGACAGCCCTGGCATAACCCCAGCAGCACCCAGGTGGAGATGCCAAGGGACTGAGCTTTATCTCCCTCTTCCCCTTCTGGCTAGCAGCTGTGGAGCCATTTTTTCATGCCCTGCCTACACAGTGCCAAAGAGCCCCATCTCCCTGCCTCTCCCTACAGGCTCCATATTGGGACTCTCCGTGCCATTCTGGCTCCCATACAGAGCCAGTGCCTGATCCCACCCCTACTGTGTACCTCCTAGCAGCCAGGCATTCCACCCCACCTCTTCCAGGAGATTCCCCTCACGCAATATGCCCTCCCACAGGATTTCCCACCACGTTCCTGAAAAGGGACAACCCCAGGGGATGCCATGGAGATGATCCATTCTGGTGTAGAAACCCTACAGTGCCCCCAATTAAGACCCTCCCTCTCCACCGATGAGATCCTCTGTGATGACCCAGGCCTTGAACTCAGGCGTGGGCCATGCCAGGCAGCTGTCACACCCTGGCCTCTGCCCAAGATCTGTCAAAAGACCTGGAGGGCTGAGAAGCCAGTAGGAGTATAGCCTCAGCCAAGGCACCACCCACAGGAGCCCTAATTGGAGGATAACCCACCTCCACAGATTGGCCCAACCGCAGGTTTGAAGCCAGAAGGCGCACCAGAAGGTTCTCTGAGCAATAAGATGATTCCCTGTTGTGACTGTGTTGAACCCTATTTGCGCCTGCCCCTCTTCCCTCTTCCAGATTCCTGCCTGACTCCTGCCTCACCGTTGCCTTTGCTACTGTTCCTATCGCGCTTCTACTCTGTGCTTGTTGCTTGTCTCTCCTCCGGTTCCTGCCCCTATGCCTCACCTCCAACCTTCCATCACCAGACCTAGCTCTGACCTGACTCGGGCTTGGCCCCAGCTCAAGTAATTGGCAGCTGACCGTGGTGCCGACCCCTGCCTTTGTTCCCCAAACTGGGCTCCTGCTCTCATTACTAGGCCAGACTGCCTCTAGCCTGCTTTGTAACACCCTCCTTCCTTGACAGTGCCCTCTGCTGCCAGTGAGCCCCTCCATCCCACCCTGGTCAGTGCAGACCCTCCTTCCAGCCCAACCCAGAGACCCTGCTCAATTCTGCAAATGGGGCCCTCGCTCCCGAGCCGGCCAGAGCTTTGCCCAGGAGCTGTGCCCCATTCCTTGCGGGCACGAAGGGGACATGTGGAGCAGGGGCAATCCTGGGGTAAACGTAAGGTGGAGGAGATGAATCTCAGAGCCCTCGCACTGGGATGCGGTCAGACTGCATGTTCTTAGGGAGGCTGAGAGGGCATCATAGGGGAATCCTCAGGCTTGCTGGCCACACCCAGTCACCTCTGGCCAGGGCTGTCCCGCTCGGTGCATGCAGGTTGGGGCAAGGGCTCTCCAATCTGTCTTAATATACAGACTGATCCCACCCTGCTCAGTGCAGACCCTCCTTCCAGCCCTACCCAGAGACCCTGCTCAATTCTGCGAATGGGGCCCTCGCTCCCGAGCCGGCCAGAGCTTTGCCCAGGAGCTGTGCCCCATTCCTTGCGGGCACGAAGGGGACATGTGGAGCAGGGGCAATCCTGGGGTAAACGTAAGGTGGAGGAGATGAATCTCAGAGCCCTCGCACTGGGATGCGGTCAGACTGCATGTTCTTAGGGAGGCTGAGAGGGCATCATAGGGGAATCCTCAGGCTTGCTGGCCACACCCAGTCACCTCTGGCCAGGGCTGTCCCGCTCGGTGCATGCAGGTTGGGGCAAGGGCTCTCCAATCTGTCTTAATATACAGACTGATCTGAACCGGGTGATCTCTGTGGCTGCTGTCTGAAGGGGAGATGCTGCAGGCCCAGGCAGGAGGGGTACAGGGGCAGGGGCAGAACAGGAGCTCCTGCAATCTTCTCCCCTGGACACTTGGACTAACTCTCTCTTTTCCCTGGCCTCCTCTCCCAGACAGCTGGGGATTGGTCAGTAAATGTACAGACCCCACCCACCGCTCCCACATCCCCTCCCCATTCCCTTCTCCCTCTCTCCCCTGGCACCAGGGCTCCTGCACAGCAGACAAGCAACAGTCGGGAGAAGGGGCAGACTGCTGAGGAGCCAGCCCCCAAGCAGTGGGGAAAGGGGGTCACCTCCCCTGGGAGCAGCGGCGCAGGCAGCACTTCATCAAGGCCCACGGGGAATGTCCTGAAACCGCTGAGAACTTTTCTTAAAACTACTTTTAAAAAGGTAAAAGCAGCACTTCAGTCTGGCTGGGGGGGGGCGGGGGGGCAGGGGTGGTGGGATGGGGGAGCAAGGGGGAGGGAAGGGGGGGAAGGGAAATATGGCAGAGGGGGGAGAGAAAGGGGGAATGTGGAAGGAGGGGGGAAGAGAGGAAACGGGTTCAGGAGCAGAAAGAGGGTGGGGAGCGGAGGGAGGGATGCAGAAGAAGGGGGGAGAAGGGGCATTGAGGCAGCAGGGGAGAGTGGTAGAGGGATCCCTCTGCCTTGCTACCGTCAGCTATGGCCACCAATTCCTGTAGGGTCTGCGAGAGACTTTTTTTCCCGCCAGGAAAAAAAGTAGCTGGCGTGGGAGGAAGCCAAAAAGTGCTGCATTTAGAATTCCAGCCTCAGCCTCAAAGTGGGTCTGTTTAGAAAAACCCCTATGTGATCTATATATAGCAGCCGGGAGCTGTGAGTCGCTTTATTCCAGAGCCTATTCCAAAGACTCGGCTGGGCACGCTCAGCCTGTACTTCTCCTGCACTCAGAGGAGCTGGAGATGGTCCCGGGTAGGCCCTTCAGCCCTGAGCTGTCCCCCCATAGCATGGCCTCCAGGGCTTGGCCCAGTTTGGCTCTACATGACCCAAACAATGAGGCCACTGACATTTCCCCTGGGAGACTCTTCCACAGGCTCAGCGACCCTCGTGACTAGGAATGTTCTGCCAATGTCCAGCCCAAATTTCTCTTTGCTCTTCCTCTCCCCGTTGTTCCTCAGATCACCCTGAACCTCTGCCCTCCCTCCTGGGCCCGGGGCGGGCATGTTGTGGGGAAGTCTGCATTTGGCAGTCCTGTCCATCTGGATCACTTGGGCCCTCGCTGCTTTCTGCCCATGGCAGCAAGAATAACGGTTGGTTCATGGGGAGAGAAGCCCGTGAAAACCAATTGAAGTGAGGGAGCGGGGAGGCTGGAGTTGGCGAGATAAATGCGGGGAGTCTCAATCTGGGTCCCCTTGAGGGAAGAAGAGACAGGAGAAGGACTGAGGAGAAGGGCAGCTGGTGGCGAGAGAATGTGCCCAGCCGTTGCAGAGATGGGCAGTACGCTGACCTGAGACAGAGCAGGGGAGATGGTCTAGTTGGCCAGTAGGCCGAACAGAACACACGCCATGGCTGATCCTGTGCCCAGAGTCACGAGTTGCACTTGGATGAAAGAATGACGGGACTTGAGCTGCAAACGAAAGAGACCCAGTGGGAGGGCAGGATGGTGAGCGCCTGTGTTAACTGTGGGCCCAGTGGGACGGCCACCCGCCAGTCAGGGCTGACAGGCCAGAAGGGAAGGGGTGAAGGGACAGAAGGGCAGGGGAGGGCAGTGCTGGCTAGAGGCTGGTGCTGCTGAAATCCAGGCTGTGGTTGTGGGCTAGTCATTTTTGAGGTAATGAGGGAAAGAACAAAGGGGACTGAAGTACCCACCTCCTCTTCCAAGGATCCTTCCAAGCAGGGAATGGGCCCACAGCCCCCTGCTACTGGGCACCTTCTCTCTCCTACACCCTTCCCTTCTTTCTCATCTCAGCCCAGTCCTCGTGCTGCAGCAGCCTTCAGCATCTGTGCACCACATGCCCCAAGGAGAGGGCCGCTCCTGGGCAGGGAAGGCTGGGAGCTGAAGTGCTGCGAACTGTCTCCGCCGCCCCGCTCTGCAGCAGGGGTTCAGCTCTTCCCGGCTCCAGGATTGCTCAGCAGGGCCCCAGCCACTCCCCCTGCGCTCCCGTCCCCGTCCTTTTCGTGCACTGTCAGCCCGGCCCAGCGGGTGCAAGCTGCGGAAGGGGCATGGGGTCTTCATGGGGAGAGGAATGTAGCCTTCCTCCCACCGAAGGGACAGTGGTAAATTCACACAGCCCAGCCCAGCAGGAGCCCGTCCCAGTGGAGAAGCCTGGATCCCTGTTACGGACAGGCCTGTCCAAGCCCCAGCTCCACCCCCCGCAATGCCTGGCGGGTCTCCGCAGAGAACAGAGAGCACCATCAGCAAGAAGGTAGGGCCCTGGGAGCCATGGGGATAGAGGACCCAGGGAAACAGGCTCCCTGCCTCCTGTGCCAAAGGAAACAGCCAATAGTTGCAGTGGATTTCAAGGGGAGTTTTGTTTTTCCGTTGGCCTGCCTCTACCCTCTGGCAGATAAGAGGGGCCCTGGGTGAGCAAACAAGGCCGGGTGGGGAGGGACACGTGGCACCAGCGGTGACGGAGACTCATGGCCAGTGCTCCTGGAGCTTTGGCACCTGCTCCCCATCAAGGTGACATGGGCAGCGGCACAGGAGCATGTGGCTGGGAGAGAAGCAGAGAGAGAGGCCGAAATGGTCTGGGAGTGCAGCTGAGGACAGGCCAAAGGGCAGCTCTGTTGGGGACAAGCCAAGGTGCACTGGAAGCACCACTGAGGGGGTATTGCCTGGGTTTATCACTGACCTCCTGGAGACTTGACTGGCATTCCTCCTCCTCCTCCCTCCCCTGCCCCCAGCCCTACCCATACACAGCCACAGTGAGTATCCGGGCTCTCCAGCTGCCCGGCAGAACCCCAGGGGCTGGGCTGCAGGTAATCTCGCTCCGGCCCTCCAAGAGCCCTCCAGACCCCAGCCTGGCCAGCAGCCTGTCTGGCTCACTCCATGGAAGAGAAGCCCTCCCACTCATCCCACTGCAGGAACCTGATCCTGCCCTTCAGTGTAGGAACCAAGGTAGCTTTAGCCTCTGGCCTCAGGGCTGAGCTTACACGTGTCGGCAGAGGACTGCTCAGTGGAGTGGAGCAGCCTCTGAGGGGTTCTGGGATGGCAACGCCCTGCAGTGCAACGCTGATCTGAGCAGCCGCCCTGGCCCATTCAGGCCTGGAAAGCGAGACTGGGAGTTAGCTAGAAGCAAAACATGGCTTAACCTGTGACCGGGAGCCCAGACAGGCTGACCTACCGGCACAGTCTAGCTATTTCTAGCGCGCCTATTGCTATAATAGCTAGGTACAGGCTTCCAATCCCAACTTTGCCACTGACTAGCTTGGTGACCTTGGACTAGTCACATGGCTGCTCTGTGCCTCAGTTTCCCTGTCTCCAGAATGGGGCAGCGTGGGGGCAGATATTGAATATGGTAGCACCGGTGAAGATTGGAGAGAAGATGCCATAGAAAAGCACACAGATTTCCTAAAATCATAATAATTAATATATTTCTTTCCTGTTCTAGCTGCCCCATGAGTCAGGCACAGGCCCGTTCTCATTTCACCTGGCCCGTCCTTCCTTGTGCCTTGGCATCAGTGTTCCAGGCAGGAATCCCACAGAGCACCCAGTAACTTGCTTCTGTGCCCAGAACAGTCGGAAGATCCTCAGCCTGAGCCTTCACCTTTGCTGTTGTGGTTTTTAAGCCGTATTACCTCAGGATTCAGGCATTTGTCCTGAAATCCCCCTTCGGCTCCTGTGACCTGCTACCTCATCTGCGAGCCGGCTCCCACGCTAGCAGACGGAGGGGGCGGAAAGAGGGAAGACGGAGGACAGCGGATTAACACTAATCCACATATTTGCTTACTTTCAGCCGCACAAGAGCTCTGGGCAGCAGCAGCCAGGGTGACACCAGACACCAGCTCTGCTGTCCTATCTGTCCAGGCCCAAGCGGGGCTGCTCCCACCCCCCACACCTTGGGGCTTTTCCTGAAGAGAGAACTGAGGATCCAGAGGCCTCATTTTGGGGCTCTTCCTGGAGAGAGAACTGAGGATCCAGAGGCCTCATCTGATAGCAGACGCTGCCGGTGGAAAGC